GTGGGCAGGCAAGGCCTGATGACAGCTGAGGGTGGACCAGGAGCATTAAGAAGTCCCTTCCGGCACTTGAGACTCCCACAGACACAAAGTAGCATCGCCCACCACTGCTGATCAGGCCACTTCACTTAGAAATGTGAAGCTTCTCCTATCTACATCTCTATTCATCCTTCCATTTGGTCACCCATCCACCTTCCCACTCACCCACCAACCAATCTATGCAACCATCCACCTACCCATCCATCCATCCATCCACCCACTCAGTTTTTCTCCATCCATCCCTCCGTTTCTTCTTTCCTCCTCCTTATCCCTCTCTCCATCCACAAAGTCATCAAGATAGATTTTTATTCCAAAAACTAGCAAGTGAAGCTGTGTGACTCCTCTCGGTTTCTCCCCATCACACCCAGGATTTCCTTTGGGTTCTGAATGCGCCAAATGCCAGCTGGTTCTCCAGACTCATCCTGCACTTCACACTTCTGAGTTTTTGCTTAAGCATTCACTCTGCCTGGAATTTTCTTACTTTTTTAGAAAGGGTGGGAGCCTGTCATTCTTCAAGACCAAGTTCACGAATCATTTCCTCTGTTCAAAGCTCCCACCTTTCCCCATACAGACAGATGCCCACATGCCCATAGTTCGTGCCTTCTCTGTGCCCTTTCAACTCCCTGAGGTAATGTGGCTACTAAAACACGTTCACTTATAATACTTTTTACTGCAGGGAGTTTTAAAAATTTATGAAATGCCTGCATGTCTTCTGTTGTAAAAGTTTCAAGGAACATAGATGTAGATAAATAAAAGAATTTCCTCTCACTCTTCTGCCACGTGTCTCATCCTGTTTAGATGTCACACAGCCAGTAAATAGAGGAGCCCAGAATGGAACCATTTCTGTCAGATCTCAGGGCACATGCTCCTTATTATCAGGGCCTGTGGACTCTGGATTCTCCTGACTGTCTCTGCCGAGTTCTGATCCAGTATGAGTCAATCGGGCGGACTTTGGGAATTTGCCAATGCGGAGCTCGCTGGGGGTTCTCCAAGCCGTAGCTTTCTCCAGGTGTGTTTTGGGGACACACCTGCCTGAGTGTAACAATGAACAGCTGTGTCACAGCGAGTGTAGGGCCTTCCAGCTTCTGTCTGGGGAAGCTGCTGTCCACTAAACCCGAGGGGCGACTCTCAGACTCCTACTCCATGGTCCTCTTTAGGGGCCAAATGTCCCCTCTCCTCCCACCACTAGTGCTTGAGCCTCAAGTTCGACAAATATGCATTGCCGGGCCCTGTGTGGGGTGCTGGGTCAGGAAAGAGGCCATAGTGACACTGGCGGGCTCTGCCTCTCACCCCAGCTCCATGCTCCTGCTAAGACTTGATTCTTTCTACCTAGGTCGCCTCTTTCTTGGTCGCCCAGGTTCGAAAACTGAACGACAGCAGTGGCCGGCGCCCCCAGCTCTGCGACGGCGGCCTCAAGACCTGGCTGAGAAGGATGCACGCAGACAGGGACAAAGCTGGAAGTGGCCCCGAGGCGGTGAGTTCCCATCTCTCCCGCCCCGCCTCCGCGCTCACCCTCACCCTCCGGGCACTCACTACCGGCACCCCAGGAACGGCACTGCCGATTACGGCCACTAGGGGGCGCTCCGACTCCGTTGCAGGGAGCGAAGAGTCGGTGTCTCAGAAACCAAGATGACAGGGCTGAGGAAGGAGGAAACTGGAGTGATGTGGGGACTTCTGGAAGCTATCTCCCCTGCTCCATTTTTAGGCAGCTCCCCGTGTGCCTGATCGAGCGTTGGGAAAGTGGGGGTTGCTTTGTGGGGTATGGGGTGATTGGGACGTAGAGAGGGTAACGGAAGAGAAAGGCCTTCTGTGGGTATTGAGTCCCGGGAGGAGCCCTGAACAGGATCTCTTACCAGAGTCCACAGAAAAACTGGCCAGTGTCGCGTCGTGCATGATGTACGTGGGCGATGAGTATTTATATAAACCTATGTACATGTGTTTGTAGGTGCACTGTATGCACTCCTGTTGTGTGTGCAAGTGTGCGCAGGCATGTGCACGCATGTTTCTATGCCCGTGTCTGTGTATACACACTCTGGGGGATGCTATGTATGTGAACAAGGTATGATCTGTGCTTAAGCGACTGGTATGTTGTGTATGTGTGCATCTTGTATTTTTAGTGTGGGTATTTGTGTAAGTGTACATGTATGTGTGTGTTTATGCACACACATTTGAATTCCAGGTATGGATGTGTGTGCCTATGCATATGGATCTCTCTCTCTGCAGACTCCCAAAGTGGCAAAGATCCAGGTGGCCTGGCTTATCAAAGATTCCCTGGAGGTGCCCCTGACCCCCAGCACCAAAGTAGCCCATGTCCTCAGGCAGTTCACAGAGCGCCTCAGCCCTGGTTCACAGGGTCAAGAGGGCAGTAAGGACAAGGACAGCCTCCTCCCACGGTAAGGGGCACCTTCCCGAGATAGGAGCCTATCTCCTGCAGGGAGCAGGGAGTGGGTGCAAAGAGGGGTCAGAACCTCAAAGCTGAAGGCCAAGAGGGTTTGCACGTGCTGTTGGTCTTTCCCTTTCTGAGGTGATCAGAACTGGGTTCTCCAACCTTCTTAGAGAGCTTCTCGGCTTCAAATAATAATGATAATAGTATTCATTCATTCTATTTAACAGGTATTTAATGAACGCCTGTTATAGACCAGGTTATAGAGTGCTAGAATCACAATGAAAAGGACAGACTAGGACCTTGGACTTACAAGTTCACATCCCCGTGCAAGAGATGGACGAGAGTCAAACAGTCACAAAGTCAATATCAAGTTACAAACTGTATTAGGTTTTGTAAGAAATACAGAGAACAATGTGAATGTAAAACCAGGCACCTGGTATAGTCTGGGGGATGAGGTATGGCTTCAAGGCACAGTAAACTGCATGTGCAAAGGTCCTGAGGCAGTGTGGCTAAAGAGCTGAAAGGAGCTCCGTGGGGCAACCGTCGTGCCAGGATGCAGGCAACAGCCTGAGCGCTCAAGAACCTCCTTGGTGGAGTTGGCAGGAAGGACTCTAGGACTGTCAGTCCTCAGCAAGTGTCTAGTCCAGTTCTTCTTTGTATAGACAGGAAAACTAAGTCCCAGAGAGGGGAACGAACTTGCCCAGAGCCACATGACACACTGGGGACAGATTGTGGAACTGAGCTCATCATAATTATATGATACTTATATGATAACTATAATTATCATGTCTAATCATACAATATCCTTAATCGATCTTGACTCAGAATTTGCCCCTCCCAGCAGGCTCCTATGCCCACATGGCACCCCTCATCCCACCACCTTCACAACTTCCATTCTGATGCCCAGCAGGTGGGGGCCTTCTGGTGGCGGCCTATGGCTGGCTCTCCCCCCGTGCCATCCAGCGGCTTCTTCCCTGCTTCTAGGCACTAGGCTCTTTCATGCCTCTGGCTCTCTCAGGAGGGTCCTTATGTCTCATCTCCCACCTGGGACCAAAAATCAGTGAGGACCACCCCTGCCAGCCTGGAGTCTCTAAGCAGTTGTTGGTCTTGCTGCCTCAGGAAGGAGGTCAGCGATTTTCTCCTCTCTGTCTTGCAGCAGCAGGCCCGTGAAGTCAGACAACCTCGTCCTCTACGAAGTTGGAGGGAATATCAGTAAGTTCTCAGTGGGGAGTGGGCACCCAGGTCCCTGGAGCTCTGACCTTGAGGGCTTACTGAACTCCTCTGGAGGATGCTAGAGTCCACCTCGGGTTGAGCCTTCCCCTCAGGCCTCTGTCTCCCACAAAACCGGTGGAATGCTGCTGTGGGGTTCAGGGTGAGCTTGTGGCCATACCTTAGGATTCCATCTGGTAGCTGGAGTGGCCTCAGGTGTGGAGAGGGTAGAATTTTTTTGTTCTGTGTGATGGTTTCGGTACCAGCAGTGAAACTGATGCCTCTGGGCCTCCCTAGCTGGAGTGGACCTCCTCCTGGGCCAGTGGTCATAGAGTCCTTAAGGAGTTCTACCAGCACCTGTCCAGCTCTAAGAGGCCCCTGGCTTTGTGGGAACCAAAGATGGGCAGCTGTTCTCAGCTGCGTTCCCTAGAGCAGCAAGTATCAAACTTTAGCAATGTGTCAGAATCACTTGGAGGGCTATTAAGACACAGGTGGCTGGGCCCTGAGAATCTGCATTTCTGACAAGTTCCCAGGCAATGTCGATGCCGATGCGAGGACCACCCTTTGGCCAAGGAGCAGAGGCTAAGACAAGGTTTCTGGAGTAGTGCTGTATTGAGGGGTCGCTCCTCAGGAAGAGCCTTACAAGGGAGGGAGGGAAGGACGAGAAGGGCTGAAGTCTAGCCTTGGCCACAAGGGGGCTCTGGAGGGCCAACCGACTCAGTGTGGTTCCCTGGAGAGGCAGGAGGGGCGGTCTTTCCTGCCTCTGTAACAGTCAGTCATCGGCTGTGGGCTGCCCTGGGGGCGGGGCCATAACTTCCCCGGCTGGGCAACAGACATCAGCGGAGATCGTTTCTCCAGATAAAGGGGTAGCTGTGAGCCTCAGATACAAGGGTTATACAGCTGGGGAGAGGTGGGGGCGGAGTTGGTGCGCTGGCCTGGCGAGGGCCTCTACGCAGGCCAGCAGCATCTTCCACAGGCGCCCTCAACCTTCTTCACCCCTGCTTCCCACAGGTGAGCATCGCCTGGATCCAGATGTCTACCTCTTAGATCTGTACCGCGCCAACCCCCATGGCGAGTGGGTCATTAAACAGAGCCCCACCTAAACCCTGGACTCCAAGGATCAGCCCTGGATGCCACACCTTTGCCCTCGCAGGCTCCACGCCGGTGTAGCCAGCGTGGGAGCACAGCGTGGGAAGGCCTACGACTTCCTCGAAGAGGTCTCCTCTGAAACGCCTCTCAGGTCCCGAGCAGGACTCGCAAGTGAGGCCATCTCCTCCCTGCAGAGCCCTCATCTCGTGTGCTCCCTGGCCATCAGGACGGCCCTTCACCACGCTTGCTGAATGACAACACCCGTTGGGGGACTTGAAGCTCCACGAATTTTTGTCCGTGATTTTCAGCCCTGATTTGCAGCACCTCTATCAAGAGGCAAGTATTTTTTTTTCCCCAGGAGAAATTGCTTTGAACGTGGCCCTCCAATGTGTAGTGGGACAGCCCTGGAGATGAAGTCAGAAGAGCTCCGTGGCCTTGGCCGAGCCCTTTGATGGATGAAAGGGTTGGACCTCAGGACTGGGAAGAAAGGCCATGGACATGAAAAGCCTGGGGAGAACTGGAAAGATGAAAAAAGCTCCCTTCACAGCTCTCCTGTTTTCAACGTTGCTTCGTACAATCTCGCCATTTTTTAATATGATATTTAAATTCTATGTGAACATTAAAGGCACAAGTTAAATGTCACTATTACTTTGTTTAACTCTTTTTCTCCCCAGCCCCAGCTCTCCTTCCAGCGAGTTAATATGGGAGTTTGGTGATAAGAATGTCTTGCTGTGTTTCTCAATGTGGTCTGGCCTCACCTTGAACCTTCAGCCACCCAGAGGGGCTGGGAAGAGAACTCAGAGGGAGAAGGCTGGAGTCATGACAATAGTTGTTCGGGGTGGGGTGCTGCAGAGACAGCTTCTCCGGAATCCTGTCCCCACCCATCACGTCTTCTGCAGTCCTAGGTCTCTCCCTCCCTCCCTCCTTTCCCCTATCCTGGGTCTGTCTCCTCAGAGCCAATAATACCTTATTCATTCATTCATTCATTCATTCATTCAGCAATGAATTTATTAAGCCCTTAATAAATGTGTCAAGAGCTTCACAAGTTTCATTTTCACAATTATCCGATGTTTCCATTTGTATTCCCCTAGAAGCAGACCCTGAGACAATGATTCAAGTGCAAATAGTGATCCCAGAAAACACGAGTGGGGAGATGAGATAGAGAACGGGAGGGAACCCATAAAAGGATACGTCATCAAGCGAGTTACCACTGTGGGCAACCAGAGCTTAATTCTGGGGAACTGAGAATGTAGAAGATTCATTAGAGTTATCCCTGCCCAACAGACAAGGCAACGGGGCTGTTTATTCATCAACTCCTGTGAGTCGTTGGTTGAGGGCTCTTGCTGAGGAGGGTGGGTGTTTGTTCCCGGTACGCCCAGCCTGCATGAGCACAGGCATCGTGGGCTCCAAGAGCCAGAGGAAGCCCTCAGGTAAAGAGATACAGATGCTGGCAATTAGAAGTTGGCCAAGTTGTACACTGAAATGGTAAGTGCTGAAGGGGTATTGGTGCTGCATTGATAGCACCTGCTTGACCCGTAAAGTGACGTTGGTGATATCGATGATGGTAATGATGATGATAATGGTGATGGTGATGAAGGTGATCATGATGGTGATGACGGTGATGCTGATGATGGTGATGATGCCAAGAGCTTTACAAATTCTACCCTCACAATAATCTAATGTCATAGTTTGGGTGGTGATGTGATGATAGCAGCTAATAGTCAGTCTCCAAGCACTTACTATGTATTAGGTACTTTACAGACATTAACTCCTTTAATCCTCATGGCCTCATGAGACACATTATCATTACCTCTTAACAGGAGAGTAAAACCGAGGCTCAGAAAGTTAATATTACTAGGCCACATAGCTAGTTGTCGACAGGATCCAGTTCCCAGGCAGTTTAGTCTGGTGTCAACAATCAATCTCTCAAACTATTTTGCCTTAAATATCCATATTTAAAAGCATTTTGGTGATAGTCACTTAATCAGTCTTCCTCTCTCTCCCCACCTTCTGCAGTGCAAACACCCTCAGAATCAGAAAGAAGGTATTTCCCTTAAGAAAACCTAGTAAGGAGGAATTGATCCTGGAACTGCCCGGCAGGGTGTTGGAGCTTATAGCAGGTTAAGAGCATTGAGTGGCCTCAGTTTCCCCAGCAGCCCCATCCAAAGAGCCCAGACTGGATGAACCCCAAGTTTAGCCCAGTATTAGCACCACAATCCTACAAGGTAGGTATTACCATGGTCCCATTTTACTTATGAAGGATCTGACGTCTATAGAGGTTAAACCATGTGTTTAAAGTCGGAGAGTGAGGAGCTTGGATGCCCAATTCTAAATCCAGAGCTCTTTCAGCCACACCAGGATGGCTTGAAGCAGGATCACACCTGGTAGTGCTAGGGAGAGAGAACCATCGAGAACGGAAGCAGGGAGATTGGGCATGTTATTCAAGTGGGGGAAATACCAGGGGATTCAGCCAGATTTGCCGCTTCGGTCCCCCAATTTCTTCCTACCTGCTACAATACACCTAGAAGCTCTGGAGGACGTCCCTCCAAAACACATCCCAATCTTCCCTCTTCACTCCTTTGCTCCTGCTACCACCCTGATCCAAGCCGCTATCATCCCAATGCCTCTGATGATGATGATGATGACGGTCATAGTGATCATGATGGCGGTGGTGATGATCATGGTGATGGTGACGGTGGTGGTGGTGATGATGGTGGTGAAGGTGATAATGGGGATGGTGATGATGGTGCAAAGTCTCAATGGCTTCGATGCCTTTTAAGTGCTCTCCCTTTTTGTCCTCCTATCTGTCTTCTGAACAGCAGCCATGGTGGCCCATTTAAAACAAATTGTTAATTCTACTGAAAGCCCTCCTACTGAAAACCTTCCAGAGGGAGCCCACACCACTTAAAATATTGTCCCGACTCCTTACCCTGACCTACCCTATGAGGCCCATTTAATATCTCTGATGCCATTTACTCATACGTCCCCTCACTTCGCTGAGCCAGCCACGCAAGCCATCTTTCAAATTCTCAGTCATACCAAGTTCATT